GAGCAGGGCCCATCAGGGGGTTGGGGTGCCGCCACTCTCACACTCAGGGCAGGGCCGATGGGGAGGTTATGGCTCTACCCCATCACACACAGAGCAGGACCCATGGGGGGTGGGGTGGAGGTTGGGGCGCCGCATCCTGTCACACACAGAGCTGCAGGGCAATCAGGGGGCTTGGACGTTGCCCCCTGTCCTGCTGATCCTGGTCCCAGGAGGCCTCTCGGCTCCGCTGATCCCGATGCTGGGAGGCATATTACTCTTTTAGCCACAGGGCGATCAGGGGATTTGGGCGCTGCCCCCTGTCACACTGATCCTGGTGTCGGGAGGCCTCGTGGCTCCGCTGATCCCAGTGCCGGGAGGCATATTACCCTTTTACTATATAGGATAGAGGCCTGGTGCACGTGTGGGGGCCGGCTGGTTTGTCCTGAAGGGGGTCCTGGATCAGGGTGGGGGTCCCCACTGGGGGGCCTGGCCAGCCTGGATGAGGGGATGATGGCTGTTTGCAGCTGGTCACACACCCTTCAGGGTGGGGGTCCCCACTGGGGTGCCTGGCCAGTCTGGGTGAGGGGCTGAGGGTTGTTTTCAGGCTGGTGGGGACGGCAGCCACGTGTCCCAGCAGGTCTCTGCAGCCGTGGCTTTGCTCAGCCAGAAAGCTGGAAGCCAAGGTCTGTCCCTGGACACTTTGAAACAAGCCAAGCTACCTCACACAAGCATCCCTTCCACCACCAGCTCAGTGTCCCCGGGGCTGCTGTCCTTCCCCTGAGGCTGGATGGGACAAAGGTGCTACCAAACTGCATCCCCGGTGCTTTGCTACCCCCGACCCCAAGCTCTGTGCTCTTCCAGAGCCCTTTCTCCACGGTGGCGTTAGACCCGTCTAAGAAAGGGAAAGGAAGCCACCCAACGTGTCCCCGGTGGATGTCAAACCCAAAGACGAGGCCACCCTCTACAGGCACAAGTGTCGGAGAAGCATTTGTCTGAGCCCAGCCAACCTATGTCAAAGTGGAAGTTCCTGGTGCATTTGTACGCGCGACCATGTCCTCAGGCATGGCACCTTTGCTGGCAGCCCAGCCAGACCGCCAGGGCAAGCAACAGGCCTGCACGCGGTGCAGGAAGAACTTCTTGTCAGCCAGCGCCCTCCAGATTCATGAGCAGACTCACACTGGGGAGAAGCCTTTCGTGTGTAACATATGTGGGCAAGCTTTCACCACCAAAGGCAACTTGAAGGTTCACTATATGACGCATGGTGCCAATAATAGCTCCGCGTGCCACGGGAGGAAGCTGGCCATCGAGAACACCATGGCTCTTCTAAGAACAGACACAAAGAGGATCCCAGAGGTGCTTCCCAAGGAAATCATGGTCCCTTCAGTGAACATGGACCCTGTTGTGTGGAACCAGTACACCATCATGCTCAACGGTGGTCTGGTCATGAAGACCAACGAGATCTCGGTGATCCAGAGCGGAGGCATCCCAACTCTCCCCGTGTCCCTGGGTGCCAGCTCCGTTGTCAGCAACACCACCGTCTCCAAGATCGATGGCTCCCAGTCGGTTAGCAGCGACATGGAAAAGCCGGGTGCTGCTGACAGCGTCCCCAAACACCAGTTCCCTCACTTCCTGGAGGAAAACAAGATTGCGGTCAGCTAAGCGACGGGAGAGCCCATGTGAAGGAGAAATGCAGAGTGACTGCTTGAACTGGATCTTTTGTTTTTGTCGTTGTTGTTGTTTGAAAACCAATCTCCTCCTGTTTGTTTTTTTACTGATGTGCAAATGTTTACAGTTGTGACCACAACCTCAGGCACGTCCAACAATCACGATGTTGCTATGCTGCTTTGCTAAAAAACAAAACCACACACATACTAAAACAAATACAGACTAGTATTTCTAATTTTGGAAGAAGCAGGTCTTGCAAAGTGGCTTTGTTACTTGAGACAAACTGTATATATGAAGACTTTGTACAAGCTAGAGGAACTATGTCCAAAGATTGTCCCCTGTTTCAAGTTGGAACTTACTAAACCACGATGGGAAAGAAACTGCTTAGCCTAACTGGGGAGGGGGAGCTGCATACTTCGGGGACTGTGTGCTGGTAAATGGACTAGGTCTGTCCTCCTTGGTGGCCTGCTTTGTAAGTCCCTCAACCCTGCACCCATCTTTTGTTTTGTTTCCTTTTTGAATGTACTTTCTTTTTATTATTAACTAAGGTGTGGAATTACAAAATTCCTTCAACCTTGGGACCGTGAGTAGGATGCCCTCCAATGGATGATCTTAGTCCCTCGGGAGTCAATGTGTGTGTTGCTACTTGTTGAAATACAGTTCAGTTGGAGCCCTAAGAGTGCCAATGTCTTCCCTGCTTCCAGATGCCGCCTTCCTGAACACCAGGACAGGTGGGCACCTGAGCAGGGGACCTCAGGTGACTTGATTTAGTTCACCAGTGCCTACTCTAGCGAAGAAATGAGTCTTTCATTCTTGAAGAAACTCATGGAAGGTATGTTTCTGATAAGAGGGTCACATACTAATTTTTATAAAAATTTTGATGTGACTTATACCAAGTAATTGTGAAGATTCTTTTCTCCCGTGAGTACTGCATGAAGGTTACAAAGTTGGAACAGGCGAGTCCTGGGTATGAAAGCTTTAATTTATCTACCTCATTTATTTTTTATTTTTGTAGCTTTAGTCTCTCTTTTCCTATTTTATGACCGCTGAAAGTGTTACCAGTCCCTGTCTTAAACCTAAGAGTTGATGTATTGGTGGGAGCGGCTGGACCTTTAAGATGTTTTGTGATTTTTTTAATCCCTTTCTTGCATATATAATAAGCAAATGCTGAAACTTTGCTCTGATGGTTTAATGAGGAAGAAGAAGGAAAGACCCTGGTTTCTGAGTCTTTCTCCTCAATGTGGAAATGTACATCAAAATGTGTATCAAAACATGGTCTCTGAGTTATTGCACCTGACTTCAGGATAAAATATATATATATATTATTTTGCCAAGTTGTGCCTTTCCTTCTGAAATTGTAAATGAACACAATACTAGAACCTGTTTACACTGTGAAGTGGATATTGTTACAGAGGACATGCCAGAGGCTTTCTCACTGCTATGCCTTGTGAATGTACAATCTACGGAGAAAATCTGATGCTGACTGTTGGAAAATAAATTTTGGTATTTTTCCCCTAAAAAAAAAAAAGAGTCATTCATTAAACCAATGGATCCATTATTCTTTTAGCTAGTCATTCTTTCTTTGAAGGCCCATGGTGAGTCACTGTCACAGATGTTTTTAATTCCTTATACAAAAGCCTGATAAAGAGTGTCACTAGGTGAATTTTTTGCCTTTTCAATAATTTCTCCTAAATGAAACCATAGTGCAGGCAATCTTTGTATTTGACTTCTTTCATTTAGCATAATGAGATTTTCCATATTGTTGTGTGTATTGACATTGTATTACTTTATTTAAAAAAAAATACTTTCCTTGCATCAGCTTTGCCTTAAGAAAAGTAGTTCTACAACATTATAAGTAAATTTAACTAAGAAGTATCCTGTTATAGTCCTTTGCCTGTAAATATAAAAATAAACACAATGCACTAGTAAAACAAAAAATTCATCCCTATTGTGAAACAGAATAATACAAAATTAATTTTTATCAACTAATAAAATGAAGTAATTCTCTCAATTTTATGACTGCTTTGTATTCAACTTTGATATATTTGTTATATCAGAGTTTCTCCTTAGGATAAATAATCATGCAATATAAAAAAATCAACCCAGCCAGTGTGACTCAGTGGTTGAGCACCAATCTATGAACCAGGAGTTCACAGTTTGATTCCCAGTCAGAGTACATGCCCAGGTTGCAGGCTTGATCCCCAGTAGGGGGCGTGCAGAAGGCAGCTGATCAATGATTCTTTCTCATCATTGATGTTTCTATCTCTCTCTTCCCCCCTGAAATCAATAAAAAGATATATATTTTTTAAAATCAAGGCTTTCTTACATAAGTAGAAAACATACAATATATGAGTCAGGACTCTAATTCCAAAAGACAAAAATCCAATTCAAATTAACTAAAGAAAAAAAAAGGAAAGAAATGTATTGGATCACAAAAATGAAAAAGTGAAAGATGGCGTAGACTTCAGACATGACTGGATCCAAGATATCAAACAATGTCATCACATTTCTGTCTCTCAGCTCCATTTTCCTCTGTGTTGTTTGTCTTGGAAAAGCTTTTCTCATGTAATGGCAAAGAAAACTGCTGATGAGTTTGTAACCTTACTAAATCCTTGAAACTTTGCAATTTCTTTTACTACCCATAATAATACTTACCCTCTGGCTCTATTGATCTAGACAGGGCTATTTGCCCATCCCTTAATTGCTAGGTTGAGGAAAATAATAACTGGTCAGCCTATGACCAATACACTGCTCTCACTGATTAATAATGGCACCAGAATCATATGCATTTATGGGGAGGAAAGTCTCAAGGCATAGTAATATATCACAAAGTAACTTATCTACTACTCAGGCTATTTCAAATAAAGGATGCTCATGAGCTGAAACTTTTCCATATGTACTACATTCATAGAATTACCAACCAAATAACTTACTGATATTTGTTTAATAAGGACTTAGTGGTAACTAAAGGTTCTCTTTCTTATCCTATATAATAAAAGCCTAATATGCTACATGTCTGGCCATGATCGGCCATTTAATCAATCAAAGCATAATATGCTGATGATATGCTAAGGCCACTCTATCACTTGCTATGACATGCACTGACCACCAGGGGGCAGGCGCTCTGACACATAGATTAGCTTGCTGCTGGGGTCCATCTGATCGGGACTGAATCAGACAGGCCAGACATGCCCTGGAGCCCTCCCGCAGCCCCTCCCTGGCTGGCCAAACTCCCGCATCCCTCCCTGGCCCTGATCGTGCACTGGTGGGGTCCCTTGGCTTGGCCTGAACCCTCTCGCAATCCGGGACCCCTCGGCGGGTGTCGGAGAGCTGGTTTCAGCCCAATCTCGCAGGTCATGCCGAGGGACCCGCTGGTGCACAAATTCATGCACCACACCTCTAGTACTTGTTATAATCAGAGAGTTTAATTATGAATTTACTGCTGCTGTCTAAGGGCTAAGGCACAGCTAAAATCATTCCCACATTCATTAACAGTTATAGGGTTTTTCTCCAACATGAATCCTCTGGTGTAGCCTAAGGGACAAGATCTGATGGAAAGCTTTCCCACATTCATTGCATTCATAGGGTTTCTCCCCAGTATGAACTCTCTGATGTTGATTAAGGTATGAGCCACAACTGAAGGCCTTCCCACATTTGTTACATTTATAGGGTTTCTCTCCTGCATGACTTCTCTTATGATGAATTAGAACTAAAGCATCACTAAAGGCTTTCCCACATTTACTGCATTCAAAAGGTCTCGCTCCAGTATGAATTCTATGATGTCGATTAAGTTGTGAATCAGTTCGGAAAAACTTCCCACATTTGATGCACTCATAGGGCTTCTCTCCAGTATGAATTCTATGATGTTGATTAAGGTGTGAGCGATAGCCAAAGGTCTTCCCACATTCATTACATTTATAGGGTTTCTCTCCTGTATGAATTCTTTGATGCAGAGTAAGGGCTATGCGTCTGCTGAAGGCTTTTCCACACTGATTACATTCATAGGGTTTCTCTCCAGTGTGAATTCTCTGATGTTGATTAAGATGTGCACTCTGTCTGAAGGCTTTGTTACATTCCTTACATTCATATGGTTTCTCTCCTGTGTGAATTCTTTGATGTTCAACAAGGAAGGCAAAACGACTAAAGGCCTTTCCACATTCATTGCATGTAAAGGGTTTTTCTCCAGTGTGGATTCTCTGATGTTGAGCAAGATGTGCACTCTGTCTAAAGGCTTTGTTACATACCTTACATTCATATGTTTTCTCTCCAATATCAGTTCTCTGATGTTCACTGAGAAAGAAGTCATGGTTAAAGGCTTTTCCACAGTCATTGCATGCATGAGGTTTCTCTGCACTGCGAATTATCTGAGGTTGAGTAAAGAATGAGTAACAGCTAAAGGCATCGCCACATTCATTGGGTAATTTTCCAAAATGTGTTGTTTGACGTTGAGTAAATAATGAGTGGAAACTTAAGACATTTGAAAAATCATTACTTTCATAATGTTTTTCCCCAAGAGGAATTCCTCTAGCTTTACTAAGGTATGAACTCTGGTTAAATTTTTCATATTCATTACCTACTAAAGATTCCTTCTCAGCACGTCTTTTGTGCTCCACTGGGACTGAATTTGGGGGGAACATTTGATCATAGATATCAAATTGATGTACTGGCTGTACTGTCGGAACTCTCTGTTGTGTTAAAAGTACTGACTTCAAGATAACACTTCTTTCAGAATTATTATAGTCATTGTCTCTTTTCATAGCATAGATTTCCTTAAGACTTGCCACTTTCCTGAAATGCCTCTCCTGATTTCCATGCCGCTTCTCAAATTCACACTTATATTTCCAAGTTTTTTTGAAACCCAAGCATTCAATGTCATGACTTATAAGTCTCTCCATTACTATGCTCTGAGATATTTCCTCTTCATCATCAATGTACCATTTTGGAGATAATTCCTTAATTTCATACCAAGACTCCCAGTCTGAAAAATATAAAGAAAGCAAATTTATCTTTTATCCTTTGCAAGGAGAAAGTAAACTATTATAGAAGAAATTGAAGAATTAATTGGAGGAATAAGGAAAGAAAGCACATGGTTCTGACATCTCTCAAATTAGGTTATGCAATATAAACAAAATACAAAGAAAGAACAAAGAATGAAGAGAGCTGCTAGAGGAAGGTATATGTGCTGGTAATGAGGAGGAGGTGACTGGGGAAACAGGTTAAATGCAGGACATCAAGAAGTAGACAAAATTAAATGCCAAAAAGATAAATATTTGGAGACAACTGTGTAGATCATGATCACAGTTTCCCTGCCTCTAGTCTTTAAAGTCTCCAGTCCATCCTGCACTATCCAGTCATATTCATAAGATGAAAATATCCACAAGGGTAGGGATTGTTTACTTCTTTTTCTCCTTACTGTTGCATCCAGTACCTAGGGCAATGGCAGCATTTTGTTGAATCTATGAATTCTGACAAAATGCTCAACAACTTCTAAAATTTTATCAGACCAGAGGGGGAAATTTTTTCCCCCCTCAGTGTCTAGAAGGAATCTAGAAGTCAGCATTTATCAATATTGAGAGAAAAATGATGCTTCAGAGTACATACTTGATATTTTCAGGAGAGGATACTGGTTGATATAAAAGAGAAAGAAAACTATTGTTTAAAAAATGATTTCAAAAAGAGTAAAATGAGAAAGTCCTTTTACTGACACACCACAATAATCAAATGATATATTCACCTATTTAGAATCTACTACTAGAGCACCTAATAGAGGAGGAAAAGTCTGAAACAGGTCCTTCTTTTTAAAAACTCTATTGAGAAAGATAAAATACTGTGCATAAAAATTCAATATGCCACATAAAGAATTAGTTAGAATGATACTAATTATGAGTAGTATACATGTCAGAAAATCAGAGATCAAAACTATCTTAGTTAAGTATAGTCTGCAAACAGCTATCAAAGCTCATAATTCCCAGGGATTATGAGCTTGATTTTCATATTCAAGCTCCATCAACAAAATGATTTTCAAGGCTTTGATAAAGTTTCCAAAATATAATAATTATTTCCATGATGGCCTCATTTTCATGTTTTGAAGTACTTAGTGATCATTTTAGAACTACACATGTTAGTATTTTGGGGTTAATTAGACATAGCCTTTTCCATTAACTGTTTACTATCTGCTGAAAATAAAGCTGCCTCCATACTAAGTCAGTACAAAATTGGAACGCAAGAACATATTGTTCATCTGTACCTTTATACTCTCTTCTTCAAACAAAGCCACCAGTTAGTTCTTCCTAAGTATAGCCATGGATATTATCCTACTTGGACCCCTATCTCAACCCAGGTCTGAGAGGGCTTTGTTCACTGATCCTCTGTTAGGTCCACACTGTTGATCTTTCTTTCTACAGAAGTACAACTATTTCTGTTTCCTCATCCATTCTTCTAAACCTCTTCTCCTGTATCTATCTCTCATGAACACTACAGTCCCTCTTACTAAGAATAAATCTCTACTCCAGGAAAATAGCAGCTTTATACAACACCTAATAGTCCCTGCTAGCTGCACCCAACCAGAACTTGTAGTGTGCTTTTTACCAAAGATATCTAGTTGGAGATTTGGACAAACACTGAATTATGTGGCTCTGAAACAGGTGTCATTCCCTCACAATGCTGAGTAAAAGAAGCCTGATGGGAGGATACTACAGACATTTCTGGTATAAGAGATTCTGATGTTCCTGGAGCTCCAACCACCCTCTTTAAAAAAAAAAAAGAATATTCTTGACTTAGGCAGCAAAATGCTGTAGCAAAAATTTCAAGGTATGATCAAATTGGAATCCATTCAGAACTACATAGTAAGTAGGCTTATGTATACTGTTGGAAGAGGAAAAGGTCATATTAGATGTGAATCTAGTTTGAAACCCAGGAGATTCTATTGGCATACAGATCAATGGAACAGAACAGGGACTCCAGAAATCAACCCAATCCATCATGCTCAATTAATATTTGACAAAGGAGGCAAGAACATACAATGGAGTCAAGGCAGTCCCTTTAATAACTGGTGCTGGGAAAACTAGACAGATATATGCAAAAAAAAAAAAAACCAGTTCATCAATTCACAACATACACAATAATAAACTCAAAATGGATAAAAGACTTAAATGTAAGGCGTGAAACCATAAAAATCCTAGAATAAACCAAAAGCAGCAAAATCTCAGACATTTCTCACAGAAATATGTTTGCAGATGCATTTCCTAGAACAAAGGAAACTAAGGAGAAAATAAACAAATTAGACTACATTAAAATAAAAAGCTTCTGCACAGCAAAAGAAACCATCAACAAAATGAAAAGGGAGCCCACTATATGGGAGAACATATCTGGCAATGGAACATCTGATAAAGGTTTAATATCCAAAACATATAAGGAATTCATACAACTTAACAAAAGGAAGACAAACAATCCAATTACAAAATGTGCAAAGGACCTAAATAGACACTTCTCCAAAGCGGACATACAGATGGCCAAGAGACATATGAAAAAATGCTCAAAGTCACTGATCATCAGAGAGATACAAATTAAAATTACAATGAGGTATCTCACACCATTAGAATGGCTACCATCAACAAAACAAATGACAAGTGCTGGCGAGGATGTGGAGAAAAGCCAAACATGGCTAGTGTGTTGGGAAACACACTTCCATCATCACAGAGTCTTCTATTAGACAGCACTGGATAGAGAACCAGATTAATATAACAAAGATCTTACAGTTGAATGAAGAAAAGACAGGAAAATTAGGAATAGGAGCCACTTAAAGTAAAAGAGAAACCGAATACAGATTTGGACAGAGGATAAGAATCATGGGCAGAACTATTTTATATATTTCATTAAGCTGGGTAATATAAAAATGAAGAAAGGCACCTGGATTTAGCAAACTAAACGGTTATAGAAGTCAGATTGCAAGTGGCAAGACAATGGAAGAAAATTTGAAGTGAAGACAATGAATAAAGATTACAATTGGTATATAATTAATTGGAAGAGAGAGGAAATGTGGCATATAGAAATTCTTAAAAGCTCCTATAAAATATTTTAAAGGAGATTTAAATAAAAATATAAGATATAACTGCACCAAATGAAAAAATATAAATATAGTAGAGGCCCAGTGCACGAAATTCATGCACTGGGGGGTGGGGTTTCCTCAGCCCAGCCTGCCCCTCTCACAGTCCGGGAGCCCTCAGTGGATGTCCTACTGATGGCCACAGCCTGGCAGCAGAGGCTTGGAGCAGGCATCCTGTGTGTGTGTGTGTGTGTGTGTGTGTGTGTGTGTCCACTGGCTGGTCTGCCCCCCGCCACATTGGGGATTGTGCTTGGAGCAGGCGCCCCTCTGTGTTGATCTCTCAGGCTCCTGGCTTCCACTGCATGTTATACTCTCCCTTGAGCTATGGCCAGGATGGGGATGCTGCTTGCAACCAGGGCCGTCCTGCTCCTGGATCGCCATGGTGACCGGGGAGCAGGCCCAGCTCGGGGCTGCCCACAGGCCGGGCTTTCCCACTCCCAGGTTTTCATGGTGAACAGGGAGCAGGCCCAGCTTGGAGCTGCCTGCAGGCTGGGCTTTCCTGCTCCCATATCAGGCCCAGCTTGGGGCTGCTTGCAGGCCAGGCTTGCTTCCTGCTCCTGGATCACCACGGCGACCGGGGAGCAAGGAAAGTTTGGGGCTGCCCGCAGGCCAGGCTTGCTTTCCTGCTCCCAGATCAGGCCCAGCTGGGGGCTGCCTACAGGCTGCACTTTTCTACTTACCGATGGCCGGATCACCACAGCGACCCAGGGCCCAGCGGCACTTTTCTGCTCTCCAATAGTCATAGGGTCCAGGCTGGGGGCGGGGCTTAGCAGTGCAGGGCTTAGGCTGCATGAGGGTCCCTGCTGGGAGCTCAGGTGGCACACAGGGGTCCTGGCTGGGGGCGGGGCTTATGCCCCACTTCTCAGGGCTGCACATGGGGCCCGGATGGCAACTTGCGCTGTCCCGCCCTGCCTGTAGTATAGGATAGAGGCCTGGTGCATGGGTGGGGGCCGGCTGGTTTGCCCTGAAAGTGTCCCGGATCAGGGTGGGGGTCCCACTTGCGTGCCTGGCCAGCCTGCTGAGGCTGAAGCTGGCTGAAAGCAGGTCTCTGGAGATTGTTTAGCTTCTATATTTGCAACATAGTTGCCTAGAGTGCAAGCTCAGAGCCAGCAGCAGCATGCCAGGAACGTTGGCTTCCTCCATCACTGGAGCACGCAAGCCTCCTGTTTGCTTCAGCTGCGTGGCTGCCGTTGCCATCTTGGTTGGCAGTTAATTTGCATATCCTGATGATTAGCCAATGGGAAGGGTGTTGGGGTTATGGTCAATTTGCATGTTTCTCTTTTATTAGATAGGATGCTTGTTCACCCCAAGTTCATTTACATTAAGTCAATTTTAATCAGAAGTCTATGAAGATTTTATTTCTGAACTTATAAAATTACGTTGAAGGAATCATGAAAAAAAGATAAATAATATAAAAGAAGTTTCTACGACCTTGCATAAAATAAACTAATAAAATGAACTAAGCCTTGCATTTTAGACTTTCCTTGCATTAAAATCCATGTGAAAAAACTAAACTACTGTGATTTGTAAATTCTCTATTACTTGAAGAATAAGAAAAGTTATAGGATGCAGAGAAGAACACAGCAAAGAGAAGCATGAATCCCCCATCCAGACCATAGCTGGTTGAAGGGAATATACTGGGAAAAACACATAGAAGGATTTTTATATCCATTTGGATCTGTGTGGGAGCTACAGCTGAGCTCTATAACATCTTTTCTTTTCTCTTTTAAATAGGTATGGTATTTCTTATGAAATATCCAAGCAATTAAGAAGTGTATAAAGCAGGGGAATCCAGGATGACTGCAGTGTAGGTGGAAGCTATACTCATCTCCTCCCAGGGCCAAACCATATTTACAACTGAATTATAGATCAAT